CCCCCACTCCTCTGACCCAAAATTAGTGAACGGTCCCTAAAACAGTTTTAACTTGCTCAAAATCGTTTTGTCAGATGACACGCTTATGACTCAATCTTCTAGAAGGTTTAAGAAATATTACGAGTCGCTTTAGGCAGACCTTCAACCTTACAGTAGGTTTAAATGATGTAATTAAAGTTACTTAAAGTGGTCCTAATTATTTTAGTTGACTTAAGGCGGTTTAAACTAGACCAAAATCTTTGAGCATATTTAATAATATATTCAAGGTCACTAAAACTTGACCAAAATCTTTCATTGGCTTTAATGCACATTGTAATTGGCACTGAATTGTAGTTAAATAAAACATTGTAATTGGCACTGAAACCTGGTTAAATAAAGGTATTTTTTAAGTCAAGTTTAAGTTCCTTAAACCCGACTTAAATTTTCATTTGGATTTTATGCCCGTTTAATATTGCTGAAATGTCGCTTAAATATGGCATTACACCCAGTGTTTATTCTTGTACGAAGCAGCTGCATCGACTTCTGATATTGAGAAAATCCCGTAGTAACCGATTCATCGCGACGAGCTACGAGACACTCTATGTTAACGGGAAATACGCCATTTGCGCGTGATTAACGCGCTATTAACGCGTTATTGCATGGTTTCGCAGAAAACCAGTTTCTATGACGTAATTGTTGGTGAAACATTTAATTATATTACTATGAACACTTCTGCATTGTATTGCGTTCAGTCTTGTTGTGCGCTATCAAAGTGACTATCTGACTCATTGCAATATGCCTGGTCCGATAAACCAAACAGGCAATCCAACTAGCTTACGCAAATCGTATAATTTATTCCAGTATATTATTATTCGATCTAGTGAAAAGAATTAAATACATGGAGAAACTGAACAGGATCTATCGATACATACACACACGAGTCAAACTATTAGCTAGAATTGCAGCACTGATAACTTACTTCTGTGGCGATGTCTAGTAGGATTGTTTCACGGTATACAGGTCAGCAACAGATATAACAGATCAGGGTATAACAGAATACGGGTCAGCGCGACAGGTCAGCAAAACATGAAGGTCACTTCGAATCTAAACATCTGAACTGAAAGCAGACTTATTCACGTGGCTTAATTGCGAAACTTAGTGTCAATCAAAGTCAATCAGGAAATCAAGTTAATAATTCATTGTATTAACGAAACACTCTCCACCCCGATAAGGGCGCAGTCCTTATCATAGCAAATGTTCGTTTAGTCGTCGCCTTCATCAGGGTGAATTACTGCAATTTTTGTCACTGGACGACTGTATTCTCCGGTGGATCTCTTCACTATAACGTTTCGAACGCGTCCGTCAGCTCCGGGGTATACTTTGGTTACTCTACCCACAGCCCACTTGCCTCTCACAGCGTTATTATCGGCTACCGTAACTATGTCATCAACTTTGACATTGCGGTTCTCAACATGACACTTCTTTCTTGATACCAGGAGGGAAATCCAGTGGTCACTTGGAAGAAGGGCAAGGTGCATCGTTTCATAGGACACGATAGCTTCATCCACTCTTCCTCCAACTCTGATAACTCCGTTTTCATCTTTGAACGGGCTGAGCGATTTGAATTCCCCTCTATCCAGTCGACTGTACAGTGTTGTCTGTACTTGCTTTATCCAATAAATTTCTGCCTGCTGAAGCTCTTCAGGGGTCAGTGGTCCTTCATTTCCGTGTTGGTCGTATTTTCCCAGGCGTATCTTTTCTGCTAGTCTACGTATTCGCGCCGTCACACGCATCAGTCTTCTCCACCTTGAGAACTTGGTTGGATCAATACCATTGCTAGCTTTCTGTGCTGTGACTGCGGTCAGTATCTGCATCTGACGGCGTTCCATGTCTACATTCGGGGTCGGCGGTGCTGTCGTACTTAGCCATTGACTTTCTGGTAGGTATAAGAACTCCGGGCCATTCTTCCATCTGCCTTGTAACTCGTTAACGCGGATCCCTCGCGACAAGTCGTCAGCTACATTATCCTCACTGGGTATATGCTTCCACTGGTTTGGATCTGAGTTACTTTGAATTTCTCCCACTCTCGAGGAGACAAACGGTTTAAAGCTGCGTGACGGACTTTGAATCCAGGCCAAGGTGATGGTACTGTCGGTAAAAGACTAAACATATTTAAACTGTATCCCAGATTCCTCCTGAATGGATTTGGCCAGGCGGCTAGCGAGAACGGCTGCTTGAAGCTCCAAGCGCGGAATTGTCAGCTGTTTCAGCGGGGATACTCGCGACCTCGCTGAGATGAACTTGACTGCGTAAGTGTTGTCATCCTTTCTCTGGCGTGCGTAGGCACATGCACCGAGTGCGTCTTGTGATGCGTCAGCGAAAACGCATAACATCGGCGGTTCCACAGCATTGACTACCGTTAAACATCTTTCGAAGGACACACTGTCTAGTTCCTTAATTTCCTGGAAGAGTGAAATCCAGCTTTCCAGAACTGGAGGTGGCACCTGGTCATCCCAATCCACTCCCAGCTGCCACAGTCTTTGCATTCCTATCTTTGTTCTGACGATGAAAGCTGCTGCAAATCCAATCGGATCGTAAATGCGAGCGACTTGACTCAGGATCATTCTTTTGGTCATCTTCTGCACATGGCTTGGACTGTTGTGTAGCTTCAGTAAGTCTACTACCACTCTGAAGTGAAACTTGTCTGTTCTGAAGCTCCACATGGTTCCCAGGACTTTCTCCTCATGTCCTTTTACCAGATTTATTTCCTTCTCTGCGTCACCGCTTACGTTCTCTTTGAGCACCTTGTTAGAGATCCACTCTTTAACTTTGAATCCTCCCGTCTTCAAAACATTGTCTATGTCATTTGTTAATTTTTGAGCTTCCTTTTCTGTGCCTACAGACTCACAGATGTCGTCCATGTACGTGTTGTTCGTTAGCACTTCGGCCGCTGCTGGGTAGCCTGCCTTGTTCTCTTGCGCTGTTTTTTTTTCTTAGGGCTATCTGCGCCATGGCGGGTGCAGGCTTGTCCTCAATTGTCAGAACTGTTTTGAAAAATATGTCAGGTTCTCTTTCTGTCTCCATGTTTCTCCACAGAAAGCGGTGTACATGTTGATCTCGTTCAGGAATAAGGACCCGATGATACATCTTGGAGATGTCTCCTACTACGGCAACTTCTCTCTCTCGAAATCTTAGGACAACTCCAAACATGCCGCTTAAAAGGTCGGGACCCTTTTTCCAGTAATCGTTCAACGTATGCCCTTGGAATGCAGAGGATGAATTGAAAACAATTCGAACAGGTGGGCTCTTCTTGTCTGGCCTCAGTATAGCGTGATGGGGAAAGTAATGAACAGGACCATGATACTCATCTTGTTCTTCTTTTGACAGCTTTCGCGCAAATTTCATTATTTCCATTTCCTCCATCTGTTTACAGTAGGCTTCAGCTTGTTCAGGATTTCTTTTCAGGCGTCGTTCTGTTGACTCTAGGCGTTTCATAGCCAATTCTTTGTTGTCTGGCAGCAGGTTAGGGTCTTTTCTCCAAGGGTAGGGGATCATCCATTGGTTTTCGACTTTGAAACACGACTCCTCTATGAGCTCGGCTTCTTCTTTTTCTGCTTGAGTCAGTTTGTCTGCATCGCAGGCACAGGGTTTCACGGCCACACCCATAGCTTCCGTTGTCCAGAAGCTTGTCAGGTCTATTGGTGAGGAGTACTTGACATGTAATATGCTGGTTACGTCACTGATCTGCTCTGGGTTTCCTCCAAAAACTACCCACCCAAGTGGAGACTTGCGAGTTAGCAGGTTGTCCACTTGTCTTGTTTCACCAGCATGCATGCGTGCGTGATCAATGCCAATCAACAGGTCAACGTGCCCTTTTCCACGGCGAAATCTTGTGTTTGGTAAGCCAAGAACTTCCGGTAAATGCGAGGTTTTCACTGCCGGAATCTCGTCACTGATGCTGTGGATGCCGATTGCTTTAACGTTAAAACGCTTGTTGTTGTCAATACAGGTTAGATGAACATTGTATTCCTTTGTCTCAATCGTTTCTTCCTCTCCACCAACTTTAGTAATCGTTATGGACACATCTTTTCCCTTTAAACCGAGTGTCAGCGGTGTCCCGTCGGATATGGCTTACTTGTGCGCCCGAGTCCAGAAGTACGTTTCCGCATTTAAAGAGACCGTTGACGCTACCGATGTTAGCAGATAAGACGGAAAGAATTGGTTCATTGGGGCTGACTATAGTGGCGACGCCAATCCTCACAGAATTGCTCTTGTGCAGGAGTTGATGGTGCTGCTGTGGACAACGAGTTCCATTCTCCATCTTTGCGCACTGTTGTTTGCGCTTGCAGTTATCCATAGTGTGTCCTCTGCC